CTTAGCTCTGCCAGGCTTTCTGGCTCTCTCTACCTTACGGGCTGAGGTTTTCTCAGCCCTGCCGGGTTTTCCGGTTCCTCGCACCAGCCCGGGCTGAGGTTTTCTCAGCCCCGCCGGGTTTTCCGGTTTTCCGTTGCAGGCGGAGCTCGACGTGACACTCGGGCCTGCCGGCAATACCCAGCCGCCTAGCCTAACCGTAGTAATAAGTGCATGTAAATACCGCGCCGTAATTATAAGCCTGCTAGTAATAAGTCCGGTTAACTGTAAGTCCGCGCTTGCGAACCGCGCCGTAATTATAATCCTGCTAATTCTAAATCCGTACCTGTAAATCGCGCCGTAATTATAAACCGCTAGAAGTAAGCCCGACCGGGATAACCGCGTCGCGATCAACCCGCGTGTAAATAACGTCACCGTAGATATTAAGCTAACGCGCATGTAAATAAAATCCTAGTTAAGTCAAATCCGCTTCACGCTGCACGCCGCTTCACGCCGGCCGCTTCACGCTTACGCTTCCCGCTGCGCTCGTGTCCTAGCGCCCGTTTGCCCCCAAGCGCACGCCGCCTAACACCGCACGACCCTGCACGCTACTCTGTACATATTTCTCTTTCAATAAACTATCTTTCTACCTATACTGTGTCTACGCAAGCTTGAATCTCCCCTCCTCTCGAACCCGGACACCGACGAGCCGATCCGAGCGTCGAGCGAGGTGACCGCGTTACAGTTTGAAACATTTTTTTCGATAAAGCTTACTTTCCGAGATATTTTACAGTTTCAAGTTAAAAAACTCACCCTGTATATAGTAATGTACGAACGAATAAAGAGGGCGTTAAGTCTATAGGTATAAAGAGATGGAGTCAGAGGGAGCTGGAGGTAACAAGCAGTGAGTGCTGAGAAACACGAGTTAGATGATAAGAATAAAGAGTGTATGATACATTGGCGTTCTCTTCATTTTTCCCAACACAATAAATTGGCAACGGAGATAAAAGTGTCATTCAGTGCAAAAGGCAATATTAAACCACCAACTAAGGAATTGATACAAACTAAGCGGGCAATCTAACCTCTCAAAATGTTTCAAGAGCAACTTAATTAATTATTAGCTGCAATGACAAATCTCACCACACAAATGCAGCGTCAAGTAACCGTCGCAGATGTTACAAGTCGTCAACAAAATTTATCAGCGTCAAATTTAACACTCATACAAAACTTCGATCAATTCGTTTCAGCGAAAGAAACATTTCGTCAATATCGTCATCGATTTGGAAATTACTTAAAAATGAAAAAAGTAGAAACAAATAAAATAATGTCAAGGCATCTACTCATCAATTCAATAGGTCCAGAAGGGTACAAGGTACTATGCTCATTGTCGTTGAACAACATAGATTCTTTAATTGCGTTCAACAAGAAAAACAGACAATCGCACAATATGTAGCTACATTGAAACAAAGAATTCTTAACTGTAACTTCAGAATTGGATGCAGATGTGACTGTAGATGTAATGATAAGGTAAACGATGTACTTCTTCGTGCACAGTTCATCCGGGGCTTACAGGACACATATATTTACAAGAGAGCAGCTTTTGAAAGTCAAGAATCTAACATTTCAGACTGCAATTGACGAGGCACTGGTACATGAAGCATCACGAGAAGACAGTAAAGAATTAAGTCAAAATAAGACACTGATTACTTCAACGAAAATCGAACGAATATCTAGAAAAGACAAAGTCAAACGAATATCTAGAAAAGACCAGCGGGAATCAAACATAAAACAGTATCAACGTTCAAAATCTCATAATAAGCGACCGCATAGATCAAAGTCAAAAATTAATTATCGTGATCTTGGCATCGAAAAAAATTGTCTACGTTGCGGTAAGGATAATCACTTGTCAAAAGAATGTTACATAGATCGCAACACATTGAAATGCACAGCATGTAGTCGTACTGGACATGTACAGAAGATATGTATCCAAACCCTTTTAAAACAAAAATCGAATAAAAATAAAGGAGAAGTATCAACTATAATAATTACATTAATTCTACGATGCATGACTTTTATGGTATTAACCAAATCATCGATGTATATCAAAAGTGTAACAACGTCGAACAAGACTTAGAAAAATATTATGTAAGCATTAAAAAACAAACATTCGAAGTTGATTCAAGAACAAGATTCACACTTCTTCCGTAATCAGAATATCATCGACTTGAAATCACAGCAAAGTTACAACCAACTACTTACTGTTCGTTTCAGATCTTACACACAAACAGTCTTCGAGCCTTTAGGAATAGCTCAAACTTCGGTACAATATAAAGATTCAATAGAGACAAATCAATAGAGACTTTATTCATCGTGCCATCTGGATATCCACCACTTCTTGGTTGTACGTGGATTCGTCATCTCAAGATTAATTTGGCTGAACTCGACAAAAAAAGGTCAAACACAAATAATCAGTCAACATTTTCCATTGATCTAATACCTGGAATTATCACAAAATATCAAGAAATTTTTAAACCCAAAGTCGGATGCATTCCTAATGTCACTTGTTCTCTTCAATTAAAAAGGAAAACAAAGCCAATCTTTATTAAAGAACGAGAAATTCCGTACGCACTACGCGAAAAAATGGACACCTAACTTGACAATCTGGAACATGATGAAATTATTACAAAGGTAGACATAAGTGAATGGGGATCTCCACTCGTAGTTATTCCGAAACCTGATAGAACTGTCCGCCTATGCGTTGACTACAAAATAACTGTCAATCCATGTCTAAAAGACGCGCATTATCCAATTCGAAAAGTCGACGACATACTAAATAGTCTAAAAAAATATTATTGTCGACTGGATTTGTTCAAGGCTTATTTACATGTTAAGGTAGATAAAGATAGTCAATCCATCCAGACAATCTCTACGCACAAAAGAACATACAAAATGAACCCGTTATCATTCGGAATAAAAACTGCCCCAAGTGAATTCAATAGAATCATCGATCAAGTCTTATCGGGATTACAAGGAGTATCGTCATATTTTGATGATATTATAATACATGGAGAGACAAAAGAAGAATGCCAACAACGCTTCATCGAAACGTTAGAACGCTTACAACATTACAACCTCCACATTAATATCAAGAAATGTGATTTTTTTAAAGAAGAACTAGCATACTTGGGATATATTGTTAAAAATAATACCATCAAAAAAGATCCAAGGAAAGTTGAAGCAATTCTAGAAGCGCCAGCACCGGAAAATGTGGATGAATTAAAACAATTCCTGGGAATGATAACATACCACGCTCGATTTATTCTAAATTTATCAACGATCATGTATCCTCTTCCATGTCTTTTACGTCAAAATTGCCAGTGGAAATGGGACGCTACATGCGAAAGCGCATTCAGACAGTTACGAACAGAAATTGCAAGCGATCGCGTTTTGATTCCGTATGACCCAGAGTTACCAATCTTACTAGCATGTGATGCTAGCCCAACGAGAATTGCAGGAGTCCTGTCACACATCATTGAAGGAGTAGAAAGGCCAATCTCGTTTGCTTCTAGGTCACTTGCAAGAGCAGAAATGAACTACAGTCAACTTGATAGAAAAGCCTTGGCTATAATCTTTACTGTTGATAAATTTTTTATGTACGTATATGGCCGAAAATTCAAACTTATAACAGACAATCGACCGCTCATCCGGATTTTTCATCATAATACAAAAATGGCAGCAGGTCGTCTACTACGTTACGCTTCCTTTTTATCAACTTTTGATTATAAAATCGAACACAGGAAGGCTGAAGATCACACCAACGTAGACTATTTTTCACGGGTAAAATTCAAGTCAAAACCAACCCAAGAACATCCACTTAGTCAAGAAGCCACAGAGATCCATGATCAAGTCATAAATCAAATTTCGTCAATAGACATAACATACAAGTCAATCGCAGAAAAAACATCAAAAAATTCGGAGCTAGCGAAGCTAAAAGATAAATTGCTCAACGAATCCATCAATGATACTAAATTTGAATTACAAGATGGAATTATTTTCAAAGGCAATTGTGTCGTCATCCCAGTAATACTTCAAAAACATGTGCTAGCGGACCTACATCACACGCACGTAGGAGTTGTGAAGATGAAGCAGCTTGCTCGACGTTACTGCTGGTGGAAAGACATCGACAAGGATATTGAAAATTTCGTAAAAGCATGCCAACCGTGTGCCTTAGTAAAAAAGAATCCACAGAAGGTCCCAATTCACGCATGGAATAATCTAACAGAAAATTTTGAACGTATTCACATAGATTACACTGGTGAATTTCAAAGACACCATTTTCTAATCCTTGTAGACGCCAAGTCAAAATGGCTGAAGATAAAAGTAATCAATAACGCTCCGACTACGGAAGTTACCATCCGCCTATTACAGGAAATTGTCAGTTTTCACGGATTTCCTAGGATACTAGTATCGGACAACGCTACAATATTTACCAGTGAAGCATTTACAAAATTCTGTCAATCAAAATGGCATTTATCAAAAATTTACAGCTCCAGAGCACCCTGCAACAAATGGACTAGCTGAGCGTAATGTTCAAACAGTCAAGAACAAACTTACGTCAATGTCAACATCGCCCGATTCAATCACTGGCAAAGTTCAAGAAATACTATTCAGGTATAGAGCAACGCCACTTGCTTGTGGTGAATCACCGGCAGAATTATATTTGGGACGCCGACTGCGAATTAAACTTGACGCTCTGAAGCCTTACAAAGATAATACGTCAAAAAAAGTTCCGGAAAACTCTACAGTTACACAATTACGCGTGGGAGAAAGAGTACAAGTAAGATGGTGGTCCCGAGGAAAAGCCGAATGGAAATTTGGTTTCATAACAAAAAGGTTGGGTCGCTTACACTACGAAGTCCGCCTTGATTCTGGCTACACACTAAAAAGACATATTAACCAAATCCGTAGTACATATGTAAAAATACCCACATCAATCGATTTGAAGAAGTCACAGAAAAAGAAGGTCACGTTTGCAGATGAGATGGACGCCCCGTCGACTAAATTGGATTTGGATTTAATTTATAACAATGATCAGCTAAACGGAACACAGGAACCGGATACAGCACCAAAAGACGTTCCAGCCGCCCTACCAGAGCTTGAAGACGACGAACCGGACATTGTGGCAGAACCGGTAATCCGCCAAACTGAACGAGTTCGACGACCCCATCATATTTTAAAGACTACGTAAAATAAATACTATCCAATGTCAAATTACGTGTGGGAGACTCTGTAATGTACGAACGAATAAAAAGGGCGTTAAGTCTATAGGTATAAAGAGATGGAGACAGGGGGAGCTGGAGGTAACGAGCAGTGAGTGCTGAGAAACACGGGTTAGATGGTAATAAGAATAAAGCGTGTATGATACATTGGCATTCTCTTCATTTTTCCCAACACAATATATATATAGAACTGGCTAAATTTAATTTTTAGGATTAGTTATATTTAATCTTTATTTTATTTAGTGGAATAATAACGTAACCGATTAATCTATCAAGCGACGCGGTAGCGTCGCGACGCCAAGTATATATAAAAATTCGTTCCAGCTTGTCAACGGTTTGCCTATGTACATATGCCGCGACGCTACCAAATAGCTTATCCGGAGTTTTACGTCTAATAAACTTTCGATTAAAATTCCTAAGGAACCAAGCCGTTAATCAAAAATCTAACGGTACTTTTCTTATACAATGTGGATGCAAGCTTTCGATTGCGACCAGTTTGAATAAGATTAGTGCAGTCAATCCTGAGGAATGATAATCGTATACCAGAAATGTGACATTTTTCGTTCTTCATCATTATCATAATAAGATAAGATATTTCACACTCTCACGTACGTATGCTCAAGGCGCGCTTGCAGCACTCATGTAGGATTATTCGCTTGAGTGTGCAAATACGCCTTGAGAGACAATGTGTATGTGCGTGCATACGTATATGATACGTATCAAGCGACGCGATAGTCGTGGTACGCGGTAGCATCGCGACGTCAAGATATAATAAGATTAAGAGGATCGTAAACCGACGGGCGAACTCCTACGGGTTAGCGCCCTCATCTAAACGTAACTAAAAGGGTCGATAATACCGACATTTTTAGTTCCGTCATTACCAACATAATTATTTCAAACATGCATAATAGAAAACGCAATCTTTTGCATTGTGTTCCATATATTGAAATGAGACAATATCACAATATATTTTTACTGCTTTATATACAATAATTAATTGATAAATTACTAAACTTTAATTAATGCGTGAGAAAGTAATATACATATACGCACTAACATCATCGCAATTTCTAATATCTTCTTTCTCTCGATCATACGCTTACTCTGTAAAATTGATAAAAGAAAAGATAGACATCAAGAATATGCCTGTGGGAGTAACGAAGCTAAAAAAAGGAAGCAAGGGAACAGTGATTCTGGGTTGTGAAACTGGAGAAGAAATGGAAAAATTAAAGGCTACAGTTCAAGCCAAGCTGGGCGAAAATTTCAAAGTAACTAAGTCACCGCGGATGAAACCTAAGATAAAAACTGTCAATATTGGCGAAGAAGAAATGAAGTTGAATGATGATAATTTAATAGTTACAATCAAAAAGCAGAACAAGATCGACGCGAAGAATGAA